GGTTGATGAGTCAAACATATAGTTAGATAATTAGATAGTATGGACAATATTTGATAGCACAATAAAGTGACTATAATCAATAATAAGTCTGGGTATACTTTTAAATAATTGAAAGGGTGGAATTGGAATGTTCTTAACATAAAAAAATGATAAATGCCCGAGGTGATAGATAACCCCAATCACCTTGATTTAATTAATTCACATGGTATGCCTGTCTCAAAACATCACATGTACTTTATAAATATATACAAATATTATATACTGATAATAATTAAAAATAAAAAAAATTAAAAATTTTAAAAAACTTAAAAAAGAGGAAAATCCTAAAGTTTTCATGAAATGCTGTGAATGACATGTAGATAGTTTTGGTATTATGGTTAAGAAATAGCTGTTAGACATTCAATTCAAACTCCTCCAGAGTTTCAGTGTTTTGAGAAAGTATTTTAAGTAAATATATGGGTGTGTAAGTAATGAATGGCAAAAGTGGATAAAGATGGTCATAAAATTTTTAGGGTTTACAGAAAATTGGTAGACTCACTAAAACAATATGCAAAAAGTTAATCAATGATGTGAACATTTTATTGTAAAGGTTTAAAATAGAAAGAAATTACTAGGGATATATGGAATTCTCATCATTTGAAAATTAACTTATTTTTGGAAGATTTCTATTTTTTATCACTTTTAAAAAGAAAATTAAATTTTTCTTTTTCCCTGCCTTAGACTTAAAGATTTAGTGAAATTTATTCATGAAGTTTTAATAGGTGAGTTATTATAGTTAGATTCATATGCATAAAGTAGCCTTTTTTCCTAGGCCTTCCTTAATCTTTAAAACGTTTTCTTAGTTAATGTTCCTTTTTCCTTGGTCAGTTAAAAAGAAGCATTTCTTTATCCCTTTCTTCACTTGCTTCTTTTCTCCAGAGTTGGTTGGTTTTTTCATTTGATTTTTTTTTTTTGGCCCCACCTGTCTGTAAGCCCTTACATCAGTCATCTGGTGGCCTCATGTGTCTGAGAGAGCTCCAGGTAGGCTGACATGAAACACGGGTTTCTGCATGGCCAAGAGGTACGACAGAGCCTGTGGCATAAAGCCTACACATTTTCTACTTAGGAACAAGTTCCTGGTTTTGTTTTGAACCCACCTGTTGGCTCCAACCAGGCCACTAATCACACATTCTTGTAATAGGCCTCATCATGTAGCTGCCCAATGCAGGGATGGTTGAAGAAACTTGTAGCAAGACTGAGAAGAGTGTGGTGATGTTAGAAGGAGGAGACACAGTAAGAGCCATGAGAAGGAAATCCTGATGGCCAAAGGAGAATGCATCATTAAAATGAAGCTGAGAAATGCTTAGATATCAGGTTTTTGAGATTGGAAGCCAACTGGCCCTGTATACCTGCTATTAAACCCTGAAGGCTGTTGCTCGTATTCGTAATTGACTGTATCATCAGTTGAAGATTAGACTGTGTTCATTATAATCTATTTAAAAAGTCAGGGAAGTTCTTCCTACTTTTTAGATTTTAAAAAAAAATCTCATATAAAGGCAGACATAACAAGGGATCAATTTTTATTTACTCACAAAAATGACCTAAGTGGATATTAGAGTCTAGCATTTTTGTTAGTCTTCTTTCTTATCTTGTCCTCTGTATCCACTCAGATGATGTTTTTACAAGACTTTTTATCTCTTCTCTTTAAAGCTAGAACCTTTATTTTAACCTCTACAATTGTTCTTCTGTGGCGATGTTTTGGATCCATCTTAATGTCCATTAACAAAGATATTCTTAGTAGCAGAAAATGTGAATCCTGTATAACAAGAACATAATGATTAATTTCCTGCAGCTTTGCCATGTGGCCACTACCCTTCTTCTTTTTGTCCAAACTTGTTGTATATACATTTGTTGACACTATTTGTACCCCCCCATCCCCATCCATTTCCACCTTACACAAGTCCACAGAATTTGTTTGAACTACTGTCACCAGCAGCTCCTCTTACTGTTTATTTATTCAACAAGTACTAAGTGCTGTTCTAGGGGCTGGGGAATTACAGGAGATCAAGCGAATAGAAGTCTGTGCTCCTGAGAAGTTTGTGTTCTAGTGGGGGAGAAAGACAAATAAATAAAATAAATAGTGAACAAAAAACAGTGCAATGTGATAGGGGAGGGAGGAGCAACGACAGAGGAAAGCCAGGGAAGGACTCTGAGGAGGTGATTCCTGAGGTCCAGCTGAGTGAAGAGGAGTCAGCCAAGCAATTGTCTGGGGAAGAACTTTCTAGGCAGAGAGAACAGCAAAGATAAAGATTTCTGAGGAATCAGCTTTGAGCATAAAAATTGTCCAATGTGACCGAACCATAGTTTGGTGGATGCTGTAGGAACCCTGCTCAGACCCACTTGGTCAGTGGGTGCCTGGACTGGACAGAAGCACTTCACCTCCAGGCCACAGGCAATGACTGACCAGCCCAGGCCTACAAAAACCTGGCCCTCTTGCTTCAAGGGGGACTAATGTTGAATATGATTGTTTGATCTGAGACCACATTCTTCCTTGGCTTTTCTCCTCCCTGTCCTGCCTTCTCACTCCTTTTTCCTGAGAGCATGCCTTCAATCAAGTAGGTGAATCAGGATCCTGGCTCAGCTCTACAACTTTTGACCTTTTGTCTGAGCTCCAGACCATTATACCGCTACCTACTCAACATATCTATTAATACTTGGCAGTTCCAGGGATACCTAAAACTCAGCATGTAAAAAGTTGAATTCATGATAGTTTTCTCTCATCCCGGAGCTTTGTTCTTCCTATGTTCACTCGTTTAGTTTATGATCTCCCCTTTTACCTAGTTATCCTAGAGAATCAAGTATGGATTTTCCCTGTCTGTTACACCTTATGTCCAGTCACTCATCAGGTAACTCATACTGAATCTCCCTCACCTCCTTTGCTTTCCACCCCATTTTTGTTGCTTTAGCTCAGGGCCTTGTCTGAGCCATTGTCAGGAAGTTAACTTAGGAAGCCATTGTCTTAACTTCCTAAGTGGCCTCCCCATGTGCCCCTTTAAGCTCTCCAGTCCATTTTCTATACCATTACCCTGTTGTAAAATGGAAAATCCCATCCAGCCATTATTCTGCCTCCAGTTTTAGGGCCTTCCTATTGGATTAAAAGACAACTTCCTGCAGGATAAAATTCCTAATTTAGCGTGGCTGACGGGCCCCTTTGAGCCACCTCTCCCCTCAGCCATCACAGCTGCCACTGCTGTGTGTACAGCTTGGCTATTTCCTCATACAGCTTCCAGTTTCAGGCCTCATGCTGTTCCTCAAAGGCCCTTCCTGTCCTGGGCAGTACCTGGAAGCTTCAGCTTTATGCCACCTCCTCTGTGAAGTCTTTTTTGAGCCACACAAGGAAGGTTATTTGTACCCAGCGGAGGGCTCTCAAAACACTCATTTCAGTGTATTGTAATCATGTGCTTTCTTTCTAATCACTCATTGGGTTCCTTGAATGCACAGACTATGGCTCTTCACATTGCTGGGCACATTACATTTTTGTTGAATGAATAAATGAAAGTAAGGAGTAAAGGAAAGTAAGGAGCAATTTTGTAGTGTTAAGCTTGTTGGTTTTTATACAGGACATCTTAGTAAACGCAAACATTGTACCGTTGTGCCGTTATCAGCCAACTCCATAGGAAAAAAAGATGCAGGAACTACTTAGGCAAAGTGACTTAAGCAACACTTCTGACGTGGATTTTTTTCTGGGAACATTGAATGATGGGGGAGGGGAGATTGTTTAAGAACAACCATTAGCCCTAAAATATGGAGCTGGGAAATTCATTAATTCTTTAAAATATTTATTTAATGTTTGCTAGATGCCTAGCATTGTGTTACATTCAATGGGGGATTAAAAAGAGATGCATTTGATATGGTTCATCCATCAAGGGCCTTAAAATGGGGAAAATGCCAACAATACAAGTGAGTAATATTATGAAGCAGCATATGATTAAATCCTGAATGATTCAAATCAGAAGTATTGTTGGTTCTGAAAAAGGAGAGCCTTTGTGGTCTGGAGGGATAACTAATCACAAGCAAAACCTCAGGTTCTTGAAAGACCTGTTGAAATGAAGTCTGGTCTGCAGACATGATGCTCAAATACTTCAGTAGTTTTCAGATATTAAGGATATAGCTTTCTCTCTTGGCTTTGGTGAAGATAAATGTACATAATATTTGTGTTTGAGGAAGAATTTTTAGTAAGATTTTGAATGAGCTTTTGTGTTGCAGGAAAAAAATAAAGTTGAATATCTTCACAGTTGTCATTCAGAGTGATGAAGGTGAAGATGTTTTGCAAGTGGGAGAGAGGGGAGATGATTCATTTAAGCCAATTAAAATGTGAAGGGAACATGCTTTCCCTGAGCTTTACGATCATCATTGCACTCCAAAGTTGGGGGGCTGCAGGGGGGGAGGGGCTATGGGAATATTGACCACTCATCATTGACACAGTACTTACCTTCTCTTGTACCTTAATTTCTTAAATAAGTGACTTTTACGAGCTCAGATTTCATGCATGACTTTTTTATTTCTTGCCTAAGGTATTTCTCAGTTGTATGGTTGTGTCTTTATCTAATTTATGCCCTTTTGTGGTTCTGTGTTCTGAGAATAGGAAATCCTTTAAACGAAAATGGATTATGGATCTACCGCTGTCCTGTAGGGGTCGCTATGAGAGTAGCAGTTCGGCATCCTTTGCCACCTGGCACCTTGTGGCATGACTTGGCACAATTTGCTTAAGGATTGTGAGATCTGGTTTGTGTTAGTATTTTATTTTTGAGGGTGGTATGAGCTCTAAGCCCACCAAGAATTTTGTAGGCTCCTAACTATGCATTCTGTCACTTTGGTTCTGTATATGCTGCTGCACCTGTGCTTTTTTTTTTTTTTTTTTACCATGTACTTGGTGCATGGTTATTTTGGAATTCTCATTATGCCCCATTTGCATATGACAAATATATACACATAGACACTATTTTCGCAGCTTTTGCAGCATGAAGGATGGTGCCCTAAACTTGGCCTTTTATAGGATCTCAGATTGTTGTTTAATGGGGTTGTCACTCAGGATACTTACTGGCTTTCTCCAGCGTTCTTAAAAGATTGAATGGAGCATGATGAGGTGCATCCCCTTGATTAAATGTTTTTCCTCCTATGCAATCACCATTAGCTGTTTGGCTCCCATTCCGTATTCTTTTGAATCAGCCCTGCATAGCAAATCAATATCTTTCTGAAGAGACAGTGTGTTGTGAATTGCCTGGACAGCATATACACAGTTACTTTGGCTGCAATGCTGCTGCAGAGCCCGGTTACTCTGCCTTCCTGGGAACTCCACAGGCAAGTCCATCGTGTTTGGAGGAAAAAAATCAGATTTCTTTGGGGAAAAAAAATCGAACTCTTAAAGCTATTGATACTATATGTTAGCATGTCCTTTGTGTTCTGCTGAACCATTTTTGGTCTTATTCCACAGAGATTAGCTTCTCTTAGGTGATTTCAGGGATTTTTTTTTTTTTTTTTTTTTTTTTGCTTTGCTTCCCCCTCTGTTGGTTGTAGTACGGCCGTACCATTTCAGCTTGCTAGTGCAGAAAGATGTGAATTCAGTTGCTGTATGAGCCTGGCCTGGTGCAAACACATTGCTAGAGACATGTTAAAGAGTTCCAGGTGAATCAAGCCTGAGAGAGACAACAGCAAAACGGTAAGACAGAGCATGCTTGCAATTATAGCAAGGATTTTAATTTGGAGCATCTCGGCAAGTCTGAATCCTGACTCACTCATTTATACAACTTGAAAAGGATTCATTTTATGCATGTCATTTTACTCACTTCTTTCTACTTAACTGCCAAAAACATCACGGATTGATAAAGGGGGTATTTAAATTAGGGCTCCGACAGGAGGTTACTCATGGGAGAGTCTTTGGAGGCTCCGAGGCTATTGCTTGTAGTTTGTAAACACCAGTAGCAGTGATAAGATGAGGAGAAGGTTTAACAACCGCTTCTTTGCCATAGCCGAGTCTTATTTCTTCTGAAACTAGTCTTGTTTATTATAGCCTAAAGAGATCCTATAGATTGTTTTGCCTGGCTATGCTTGGCTGAATGCCCTCTGAGTCAGGCAAGTGAAGGACGGGAGCCCACTTTTTTCGTTTGGGTAAACTGATGTCTATGAATTTGGCTGGATTGGATCTGAGTAGAATAAATATCTCTAGTATATTAGGGATCTGGGGCTTCCTCACTGCTCATCCCACTCCCTCCCCTTTTGAAGCATAGAAACGCACCGGCTTTAAGTGTGTGCTTCCTAGCAGAGGTCAGTGTGCTGGTATTTTGCATCATTACACCTGTAGTGGTTATGCTTTCATGTATGGAAGTGATAATCCTCCATGCAGTTCTGCTTGAAGTGCTGGCTTTAACAGTGGACTATTAGCATTTTGGACGCTAATGCAGAACCCCTGCATGCTTGGAAGGATTGGGGCAGCAAACAGGCTACTCCAGTGATCCCTACCTGTTTGTAAAGAAGATAAAAATTGAGAAATAGAAGCGCAAGCATACCTTGGTATCTTCAGAAGCTGAATTTCTGTTTCCTTTGTTAATTGTCACACAGCATTTGGTGTAAGGGGGGGTTGAAGTTGAAGGGCACGTTTTAATATTGTTCAAAGTGAGACTAATACATTACATGGTCCTCGTGAGTTTATATAGACCTACCGGTAATATCGATGCTGAATGTTAAGGATGTCAGCATTTGATTTTTTGCTTTAAAAATATCCTACTTATATACAGTTTAATTAACTTATAATTTATGTAAAATGTAAATGATGTACAGGGTGAACATTAGTTGAGAAAATCAGCAGTAGCTTGCATGCTGGCCATAAGCCAGTTCTGTATAATTTTGTGACATAAGTAAATTTGAGAAAGAGCACCTAATTAGTTGATAGGCTAATTGAGAGAAATATTGATAACATATTATGGTTCACTATAAGTAAATTTCTTTTATGGAGGAGGGAGCCTTAAAGGTATTTCCGTATTCACTCTACTATTTACTGCAAAGAGAGTTCAAATTTTATTTTGATCAGTTATTTCCTAAAAAATAAAGATGAACTATAAGCTATTCTTTCCCATACTTTGGTTGTTCTTTTCTTAAAAAAACTTTTTTTCTATTTAGAAGATGATGTGCCCTGTGTTTTCTATTTCTTTTTCTGAGAATGATGTATTCTACCTATTTATATTTTTACCTTTCCTTTGTGTAGGCTGTGAGATTTATTTATTTATTTATTTTGGTCTTGTGACAGAAGGAATTGTACATCTGTGAAAAGTAACTAATTTTTAAAAAGTGGGATAGTAGGCTGGGCACGGTGGCTCTTGCCTGTAATCCTAGCACTCTGGGAGGCTGAGGCGGGAGGATCACTTGAGCTTAGAAGTTTGAGACCAGTCTGAGAAAGAGGGAGACCCTGTCTCTAGAAAAATTAGCCGGGTGTCATGGCGTGAGCCTATAGTCCCAGTTATTTGGGAGGCTGAGGCAAGAGGATTGCTTGAGCCCAGGAGTTTGAGGTTGCAGTGAGTTATGATGACGCCACTGCTCTCTACCTGGGGCAACAGAGGGATACTGTCTCACAAAAACAAAACAAAACAAAACAAAAAACCCAAAACCAAAAAACAAACAACAACAACAACAAAAAGTGGGATAGTGGAGCAGTAATATGACATTGGTTTTGTAATCATACAGTTTTTTTCTCTCATTCTACAAACATTCATAAGGCACCTACTATGTGTGAGACATTGTGTAAGACATGCTGTGAAGGAAGTACGGGATGCAGTAGACACACTCCTCTCCTGAAGGAGCGTAGATTTAGTACAGTTGGTATCTCCCCTGGAATATGCTCTATTTTACTTTCTCATGGATAGTCAATTTGGTGCTTTTTATATGTTATATATCCTGCTTAGGAGAATCCTTCCTCTACTTTTAAAAAAAGCATTTATTAATTGAACAAACATTTATGGAGAATCTACTGTGTGATGGTGCGTAAAACACTGGTTCTTGTCCTCATGGAACTTGTGATCTACTTCTTTTGAAAATATTTTAAGAAGAAATTCTATGGCAGGTTTTTTTCTTTTTTTTTATTTTGGTAATTGCGAAGGAGATACTGTGTGCTTTCAATGTTTTTTCTTGCAGTAAAATATACATAACACAAAATTTACCATTTTTACCATTTTTAAATTTATAATTCAGTGGCATTAAGTACATTCACAATGTTTTGCAATCATCACCACTATTCATTTCCAGAACTTTTTTTTTTTTTAAGAGAAATTCTGCACACATTAAATGGGAACTCCTCACTCCCCCACCCCTCTAGTTCTTGGTAATCTTACTCTACTTTTTGTGTCTATGAGTTTGATATTCTAGGTACCTCATATATGAAATGGAATCATGTGTATTTGTCCTTTCATGTCTGCCTTATTTTACTTAGCATGTTTTCAAGGTTCATCCATGTTGTAGCATGTGTCAGAATTTCATTCTTTTTTAATGCTTGCTTTGATTTTTATATGGAAAAGACAAAAGTTTCTTCCTTACTATATGATGACACTATAAGTCAAGTTCCCATATAGACACCATAATAGATAATTTAGATATACTAAAAATAGTAGCCTGTGGAAAGGGGCAAGGAATAAGGACTAGAAATGCAGTGAGGGAAAGATTTGTGGATATATTATCTTTGGATTCTTTCTGTGGCCTGGTAATTGAGCATGGTAATTGGGCTGCTAAGATTTTCATGTCAATTCTTTGCTAATAGAGAGCAACAATCAGCTGAAATACTCAATGGGAAGCTAGACTGTGGCTTTCATCATCATTAACATTTGAATTTCACCCACTGTGCCTCTAGTCCCTTACTCTGTCGAGCTTTATAAGCAAAGACTGATCATGTTGAGGTCCTCTTACAGAATCAGAGACTCTTAGAACTGGCAGGTACTTCAGATATTGTGTTATCTAATTGGTTCATTATCATTCATTAGCCAATGAGAGAGTGAAACTCAGTCTCCTGATGCCCGCTGTGGCCTCCTTTCACTCCCCACTCCTGTTTTCAGTGAGCACTCAACCAGAAAACTCCAAGTATCTGAGTTTGAGAAAAAGAAATGGGAGAGGCTGTAAGCTTGAAGCCATATTAATCAGTATTCCATTGGATGAAGTAAGCCTACCTTCATTAATATATTTTGCTCTTTCTCAGATTTCTTCCTGATACTGCTTCTCTTAAATCCAGATGGTTTTTTCTGACAGGAGATCCTTTTTAGAAAGCCAAGTTAAGGCCCCAGAGCTGTCCTTTTATTTGCCATTGACCAATTTCACAATTCTTAGACTGGGTCAGTCAGCGGTTTATATCCATGCTTTTAACTCACTATCCGGGGACACAAACATCTATAGAGGAGGAAGACTCAACATGAAAATGTCTAATACTTGAGTCCCCCGTCTTCCCAAGTAACCTGATATTCCTGATGAATCTTATTGCCTTCTGCCCTCCTGTTTTTCCTTTATGACCTGACTTTTGATATGAAGCTGATTCAGTATTAGATTAATCATTGGCATGTTAAACTTGAGTGGTGCATTTTGGAGGGAGGAGGAGAAGATGGGCCAGAAAACCTAAACCACAGAGCAGTTATTTTGCATGGCTTTGAAAGTGTTTTCCTTTTGCATCAGGGGAGATAAGAGAGATGGAGAGAATTGTTGCTGATAAGGTCTGTCCTTTGTTTATTTCCCTCATGATATAAGTCCCAGGGGACATCTAAGAGAGACAACACAGTGGTCAAGAGCTTGAGCGTTGTAATCCAAACTCTGAAATAAATCCCCTCTCCTGTGTTTACTTTTTATGTGACCTTAGACCTGTTACATAATTATATGTGCCTCAATTTAATCATCGGCAAAACTGAGATAATAATAGTACCCCCTTCATGGGGTTGTTGTAGAGATTAATTGAGAAAGTATTTTTAATGTATTTGTCATAGTAACTGTTATATAAGAGCTCAGTAAAAGTTAGTCATCATCATCATTTTCATCTCCTTTAGAAATCCTTAACTTCCATCTCTGTTTTCTATCAACTGCATTATATCTTGTCCAGGATCCTTCTCCAGTTACCTTGATTTCAGAGCATGTTTGACTATTACAGTTCTTGAGTTTGAGTGGATACAAGGACACGATAGAATGCTCCACTATTCCACTTTTCATCTGGCAGGCTTTGAAAGGGTGTATGTTCCGTAGACTTACTCTTCTGCCCAGTTGATAACACGTTTGCTCCAGCAGCTTATTCCTCAGCTAAATGAGATATTGTTAAAAATACAAAGTTGACAGTGAAATGCTTCTGGAAGCACTGGGGTTTGTTTTCAGGTGGCAGACCAGCAGAGGATGTGTGTGTGTATCCCACTGTTCTGCTGTATTCACCTTGGATATCTCAGTTAGGATGTACTATTGACTTTTCTTAGTCATAGGAAAGATTTACAGAACCAGTCTTCATGAAACCAGTTAGGGCTTTATTATTAATATGTTGCTGTCAAATTTGTTATTGCTGTAGTTTTAGCTCTTTACAATGGATGAACCCATTGTTAAAGCTGCATTGAAAGATACTTCCATTTTCTCCTCAAAGGTTCATTGTTCCCTGTGTTTCTCTTCATAAGCTCTGTGTGGTTAGTGACCCATATATGATTCTCTGAAAATGTTAAG